AAACCGAATAGGAGTACGGAAGATGAAAACGGAAAACTGTGGGAACGTAAGTGGAATATTTGAAACGGTGTCGAAATATGGAAACTGAAACAGAAAACGCACAGTGAAAAACAAATCATTTTATATTTTTTTATTTATTAAATAAAGGGAAAACACGTATAAATTGTACACAACTCTTGTGCAGATAAAGCGCATTTGTTTAAACCGAAATAGCTTTTGTTTTGACATCACCAACGTATATATTTCTTGCAGACGTCTCAATCGCCCTTTGTGAGTACCCTCTTCGGACAATCCGTTTTTGAGGTATACGTATAAGGGAATATACCCGATCACGATAAGAGGTCGAGAAGAAGGGTAGAAATTAATTCCTTTCGTTGATACCTTTCATTAGAGTACCATGAAGGATAAAATTAGTTCCCCCCCCCCTTCCCCTCCACCTCGTACCTTGATAAGAGGACAGAAAGAAGGGCAGTAGTTGATAGTAAACGGTTCCGTTCGTTGAGACCATTAATTAGAATACAATGAGAGATAAAATTAATTTTTAACCCCCCCCCCCCCCCCCCCTCTCGCCCTCAGAGCCCGCGCTCACTGATCTCCGAAAAGAGTTGCCACGTGGAAGTTCTAGTTTCCACAAAGCAATTATTTCGATGAGACCTTTCATTAGAAACCGATGAAGGGTAGAACATGGTCCCCCCCCCCCCCCCGTAAACGCGAAAAACGTTAATCTTGAAGGGAAATTAAAAATGCAATGTGAAAAGGGTCATTGCAAAGACAAACTGAAAAGGAAGCGGCAACCGGAACTGGAAAGCGGAAACACGGGACGGAAACATGTAATGGAATATAAACAACTCGACAATATAAAAGGGGAGAGAAAATCGAGACTGAAAAACTGAAACGGGAATGGAAATATGTATGTAGCGACAATGGGGAACATAAACATAAACGGACGTCCAAAAAAAAAGAGAGACGGAGAACATAAACATAGAAAAAGAGGAAAACGGAAACGGCATATAAAAACGGGAAAAGTAAAAGGGGATATGAAACGGAAACAGAAAGGAAACGGAAACTGGAAATGTAGCCGAAACAGGAGCCAAACAAAATCTGAAATCTTTAACGGAATAAACCGAAAAGAAAAACGGAAACAGAAACTGAAAACGGAAAGTAGAAAAAACTAAAACCCACCCATGGAAACTGAAAAACAAAACGTACAGTGAAAAACAAAGACTAAAACGGAAACTGGGAAAGGTATGGGCATGGGGAGCGGAAATTGAACCATGAACCGTTAGTGGAAGTGGGGAACAAAATGCGAAAAGAGAAATCTAAGCATAACGGAAACTGGAAATGTGAACCGAAAGAGTGATGTAGTTCCGGAGCCTTTGTGACTCAGACAGACAGACAGACATCAAGAGCGCAAAAGTGCACTTTTTATTTTTTGAAAGTGAAAGTGCACTAGAAAAGGAAAACGGAGAAGGAGAAGGAAATGGCATATAAAAAGGGGAAACGTAAAAGAGGAAATGTAAACCGAAGGAGAAACAACGAATGGGAAACAAACTCTAAAAACCTTTACGGGATAAGGAAAACAAGAACCGAAATTATAAATGGAGACAGAAACAGAAAACTGGAAAACAAGACACAAAAACAAGGCAAAAGAGAAATGGAAAATGAAAACCGTAAACGTAAGGGGAAAACGTGAATCGGTAACAGAAACTGGGAATTGAAACAGAAAACACAGTCGGAAACATTAAATAGAAGGCGGAAAACAAACACTGAAACGTAAACTGGCAACGGATATGAGGAAGCGGAAATAATGAATGGATACGGAAATATAAACAATGTGAAACGAGAAGGGGTGAAGCGAAATTAACAGGAGGTGGTAACCGGAACTGGAAAGCGAAAATTGGCGAACGGAAATACATAACGGAAATGGAGAATAGAACACGTCCTGTTTTCGTGTCGCCACAGGAGAACGGAAACGGAAAACGAAGACGGGGTGATGAAAAAGGAAACGGAAACGGGAAAAGCAAAAAAAAACGAAAAATAAAAAAGAAAAATGGGAAGCGGTAAAGCGACAGGAAAATAGAAGCGGAAACCGCAACAGAAAATGGGTGAAAATAACGTAAAACCAAAACGCAAAACAGAAACGGAAAACAAACGGCATACAGAAATGGAAAAGTGCGCGTTAGATGTGAAACGAACGTGGGAAGGTGAAAAAAGAAATGGAAACTGAAAAAGGAAACAAACACGAAAAACGAAAATAGAGAGAGTACGGAAAACAGAAACAGCAAATGGGAAACAGAAAAGGCAAACAGAAACGTGAGACGTGTTAACGAACAGCGAAAACAAGAACAAGAAAAATAGAAACGGAAAAATTAAAACGCAAAGTCGAAGCTAAAACGCAGACTGAAACGAATTCGAAATTGAGAAACAAAACGGAAACGTAGAGAAGAAATGGAAACGGAAACAGGTCCTGGGAACCGAAATCGAGTGTAACGGAAATAGGGAATAGAAATGTAACACGGAAACGGGGCGCAAAGGAAGGAAACTGGCCAAAAATATAAAGAAAAAATCGGAAAAAGTAGGCGAATAACGGAAACAGAAACCAAAACAAAAAACGCAAAAGAAATACAAAACCGAAAACACAAAATACGAAAAAGGGAAACGTGAAACGGACACTGGGAAATTACAACAAGAAAGGGAACCGGGAAACATAAACAGGAAGTGGAAAGAAAAGCTGAGAACGATGATGAAACGGAAAACGGTGACTAAAATGGAAACGAAAACAGAGAACGGAAAGAAAACTAAAATTAGAACCGAAAGCGAAGGCGCAAGAAGGTAACAGAATGCCAAAGACGAAAACGTAAGACGAAGACCGACAATATAAACCGAAAAGGAAATTGGGAAAAAAAGATCGAAACGAAAATGGACGACGGACAGAAAAACAAATCCGAAACGGAAAATGAGAATGGAAAACGGTAGCAGAAAACGGTTGCGGAAGACGAAAATGAAGGAAAATGAATCGAATTGCGCATGCGCAAAACAATTTTTTTTTGATTCGGCGTTCTACATACAAAATTTCATGCAATTCGGTTCATAACCAACGAAGATGTCAAAAGGACCTTCTTTATTTTCTGGCCTACATTGCCAATTCACGAACTCCGATCTACAAATTTGATAACGAATCTATCTGCAAAATTCCATCGTAAACGGTCCATCCGTTTTCGTTTAAATCGATGGATATGGAGCCATCGAGCGAGCGAGCGACCGAGCGTTCGTACGATTGAGAGAGAGCATATTAAAACTCGACGCTAAAAGGGAAAACGTAAAAGGAGTTACGTAAACCAAAAGAGGAACCAGGAAGGGGAAACAAAAGCTGAAAAGAAACGCGGATAAACTAAAACCAAAAACAAAACAGAAACGGAAAACATAGTCGGTATACAGAAATGGAAGAGTAAGCGTTAAATGTGAAACCACAGTGGCAAGGTGAAAAAAGAGATGGAAACTGGAAAGTGAAACAAACGCGAAAAAAGAAAGTAGAAAGACCACGGAAAATTAGAAAGAGCAGATGGGAAACAGAAAAAGCAAACAGAAACGTGAGACGTGCTAACGAACACGGAAAACAAGAACATGAAAAATAGAAACGCAAAAATTAAAACACAAATTAGAAACTAAAGGGGAATCAAATTCGGAAACTAGAGACGGAATTGGGAAACATAGAGATGATTAGGAAATGGAAACGGGACCTGGGAACCGAAACCAGGTGTAACGGAAATAGGGAACATAAAGCAAAAACCGGAAAAAAAAGACGATTACAGAAACGGAAACCAAAACAAAAAAAAACGGAAAAAGAAACACAAAACCGAAAATACAAAGCACGAAGAATGGAAACGTGGCAGCTTGTGCAAACGGCAAACATAAGCGGCAACGTGCCAAAAACGAAAACGGGAAAAAAAGATCGAAACGAAAATGGACGACGGAAAGAAAAACAAATCCGAAACGGAAAATGAGAATGGAAAACGATAGCGGAAGACGGAAATGAGGGAAAATGAAACCAAAAATGTAATTCGAGAACGGAATGCGGAAACGGAGGATGGGGGCGTAAAATGATATTGGAAAGGCCTACTCTGACGTCGTGAGCGGCGGACAGGGACGGAAAACGAGAATGGAGGTGGAAGAGTGGAACGAAAAATAAAAAGGAGGATAGAAGAAAAATTGGAAAGGAGAAGGCGTACGGAAAACTTGCACCGCAAACAAAAGTTGAAAACGAAATCCAAAGAGAAAATCGAATTATGGGGAAAGAGAAAGAGAGAAGGCGACGACGACGACAAAGACAATGACGGAGACGAAGGCCATGCCATTGTAACATTACCTGTGTAACAATTGCATGATTACCTACCCCTAATCGTTGAGTTGTCATTTTAAAGTCTACTGAAGAAGCTGCAATAGCAAGCAGACAAGGAAGGCATAGAAAGAAATCTCTGTATGCGATTTGGTAATGTTGCCAAATACTAACTAATACGATAATTAGTGCAATAAGTGCAAACGTAATTTAATAAACAGAATCGGAAGATGCGAGGAATTCGACTGCTGACCCACTTAAGCTTAACGTAATCATTTTGTTCGTAATAGCATAAGAAGAAGAAAAAAATTTAAATTACTTATTAAAGCGCAAATTAAATCGCGTAAACACGTCCAAATTACATCATATAACTTATTCACACTTCCACCTGCGGTTAAATAAGGATGGGGGAATTTCTTTTAGTGATGGTACTGTAGCAAGGTTTTAGGATGAAAGTAAATCATTTTGTTAAAGATTACACCCACTATTGCACTTTTTGGAGTATATAAGCGTCCGCGAAAGATTCACACAATCAGATCATCTCGTTTGCTTTTTACATTCGTGATATACTTACTTTATAGTGCTAAAAAATGAAGGTATGTGCGTTCTCGGTGTTTCCAAAACCAAAAAAAGTGTATTTTAAATTTAGGTCATTCTCGTTTTGTCCATAATTGGGTTAATCTCGGCGGAGCCGCCCGTTAGTTACCTACCCCCGTCGAATCAGTACGGCGCGCCGTCGGGATCGTTTGGATCACCCTCTTTTGCTTCCCATACGGCTGCGATATTGAGACCCAATGCACAATACGGCGCTCCCAATCAACAATACGGCGCTCCCGATGGCGGACACAACGGTGGTGGTTATGGAGGACATCGCGGATACGATGACGGACCATCCGTAAGTCACTTTCATTTCGTTACATAACTCGAGCGTAACGCACCTTACAGGAACCCGCCAACTACAACTTCGAGTACCACGTCTACGAGCCCAGCTACGGCAACGACTTCGGCCACCAGGAAGCGCGCCAAGGAGACGTAGCTCAGGGTAGGTACTTCGTACTTCTTCCAGACGGCAGGAAGCAAATCGTCGATTACATCGCCGACTCGAATGGATACAAACCGAAAATCTCGTACGAAGGTACCGCCAACGGTGGTGGATACGCGGGCGCCGGTGGATACCAGGGCGGCGGCGGCGGAAGCGCCGGTTACCATTATTAGTCTAATTTTAATTCGCGTCGATTGACACCGTTTCATCGATCTCCTAGTAATCAAACGGTGTCCCAACTATGTACAGCTTGGCAACTGTGCATAACTTGTAAATAGCCAGCCTATACATACATCAATGGTATTCGATTCATAAAATCGGAATCGTAAGAATATTTATTTAAAACTGCCATATTTATGTATCTAGAGTATTATGTGTAAAAGTATTATATTTTTGTAAATAAATTATGCATTATAAACCCGGCGCTTTTCATTGCAAAATACAAGAAAGTGAATCGCACACGCAACGCGTTTAATTAACGGAGCGATGAGGATTTCTACATTCACATTTGGAATGGCTTCATATAGTAACTTTTATTTTGTAGTCGTCCCATAAAGAGGCGGAAGATTAGCAACAACGGAAAACGGGATCGTTTGCTTCCAAAACAAGACTGTTGAAAGGAGCGTGCAATGAATTTTAACGAATTTATGCCCCGTGTTGTAAACTGGTCATAAAAATACGAAACGCGATATGGTTCGAAGGACCAATTAATATCGAGGGTCTGGACGGACTGCGGATAGCCTTTCTGCACGGAATAGGATGCAGTCGTAGAATCTCAATCTTTGAAGAACATTTTCAAAAATATATAATACATATAATATAAATAATATAATATAATAAATTTCAACTAGGCCTCTAAGTTGTATGTGTCATTACGTTTGTGCGTTACTTTTATTTGTCTCTCTTGACTTGGTGAAGTGGTTTGAATAAATATTACTATTATTATTATGGTCGGTGTTTCTTGTGAGAACTCAGGTCTAGCCTGGTTAACTAATCGCTCGTCCGGTGAAGTTATGTCGGGTCCTAATAAAAAAAATTCACACACGCACATTGGAAATCTAGGGATAGTATGTAATTCATACTTACCAACATAGCTATTGATGGGCACAATAGCCAACGCTATTAGGAAAGAGGAAAACAAAACAAAAAAATAATTATAATAATTCCTGTTTAGCAATTTTATTAAATGGAGTTTATTGTGTAAGTGTTTCTTTGGCTTTGCGTTTGGGTTGAATACGAGTGGGTTGTGATAACGTGGTGTGCTTCGGTGAAGAAGGAGTTATGTGTTTTTTAACTGTGCTAGGGCGTGTAACTTTATTGGGTGGACCTGTCTTTGTAGTGCATGTTGCGTTACTTGTATTTATTGCGTTTGTTTGTTCAGGAAGTTGTGTTTGTGTGGTTGGTTGAGTTAAGGGTGAAGATACTAGAGTATGCTGTGTGTCATGTTGTGAGTCTAAAGTGCTGTTTAGGTTTTTGCGTTTGGGTTGAATACTAATGGGTTGTGATAATGTGGTTTGTTTCAGAGGTGAATCTCTGATTGTAGTATATGTTGTATCATTTATTGTACTTGTTTGATCGGTAAGTTGTATTTGTGTGTTTGTTTGGGTTAGAGGTGGAGGTGGAGCGAGTACTGTTATTTACATCTGTACGTTGTGGATCATTTGTGTATGTAGTATCTTGTGTTATGTTTAGAAATTTACTCCGGTAGCACGAAGAATAAGGGGAACTATAACAGTAGATTTCATTTTCCATTGCGTCTTAAGCTCGATAGCTATATCGGTGTATTTGCGGTGTTTTTCTGCATGTGTTTTAGTTAAGTTGTTCGTGTTGGGGATGGCAATGTCTATAATACAAATGGATTTTTGTGTTTTATCTATAAGTGTAATGTCTGGTCTATTATTGTGGATAGTTTTGTCTGTGAGTAGTGTCCTGTCCCAATATAATTTGTGTGTGTTGTTTTCAAGTATGATCTGTGGCGTGTATTTGTAATATGGTGTCTTATCTGTTATGAGATTGTGTTTAAGAGCTAATTTTTGATGTATGATTTTAGCTACCTGATCGTGTCGATGTTTGTATTCTGTTTGTGCAAGTCGTGTGCATGCCGATATTATATGTTGGATTGTTTCTGATGTTTGTGAACAAAGTCGACAAGAATCATTTGTCACTGTCTTTATGTATGTGTTTTTTTATAGTTGCGTGTGTTAATGACCTGGTCTTGTATTGCTAACATGAAACCCTCCGTTTCCGGGAAGATATCACATTCAGACAACCAAGTGTGCGTTGCTATAGAATCAACACAATCCTGACTAACCTCTTGTGGAAATCGTCCATGCAACGGCTTTTGGTTCCATGTCTGTAAGTTATTTGTGATGTATGTAAGTTTGGATGGAGGTGGGAGTATATTAGTTTCGTGTAGGTTAAGTGGCGTGTAAGATTTGTCTGCATATGTTACTGTTTTGTGTAGGACTGAAGTATCTGTTTTGTTATAAAAGTATTGTCGCAAATTGTGTATTTGTGTTTGGTGCAATAGTTGTATATCTGTAAGTCCTCCACCTCCTTCCGAACGAGGAAGGTAAAGTCGTATAGTAGAGGAGTGAGGGTGATGTATATGGTGTTTTGTTAATAGTGTACGTGTGTTTCTCTGTATTTGTTCTAAATCTGTATTTGTCCAACGTATAATTCCAAAAGAGTATGTAAGTACTGGTGTGGCATAAGTGTTAATAGCTTTGATTGTATTTCTACCGTGTAATTTTGTTTTAAGTATACTGCGTACTCTTTGTAGGTATTGTGTGATAAGTGTTTGTTTTATACTCGTATGTTTAATGTGTGTGTTTTGCTGAAAAGCGAGATACTTATAAGTTTCATTCTCGTCCATGGAATTTATGAAATTACCCTGTTCTAGCTCATAATCTAAAAGTTGTCTTTTACCAGCTGTGATGTGTTGTGTTTTACATTTATCGATTCCAAAGTCCATTTGTATGTCACGTGAAAATGTTTCCGTAATGTGTAGAAGGTGATTAAGTTTTATGCTTGTGGAAGAGTATAATTTCAGATCGTCCATGTAAAACAGGTGTGTAAGGTTGTGATATATTTCGTGGTTATGTTTAATATTGTACCCAAAGTTAGTAGTGTTTAACAAGTATGAAAGTGGATTAAGAGCAAGACAAAACCAGAGCGGACTTAAAGAATCGCCTTGAAAAATTCCTCTTTTAATTTGTATTGGGTCAGTAATAAGTTGTGTGTCATTTAGTGTAAGTGTTAACGTAGTGTTCCAACATGACATTATGTAATTGTATTATTGCTGACTTTGTATATTGAGAGTACTTCTTGTAACCAAGAGTGTGGTACTGAATCGAATGCTTTTTTGTAATCAATGTATGCAGTGTGTATGTTTCGTTTGTTATGTCTGGATTGTTCAAGAGTCTATAATGACTTGCTCTTTACAGCCTCTGGAATACCTACTTGGTACACCCTTTTTGTTCTTCGTATAGAATGTTGTTATCAGTACAGTGTTGGTATATTTTGTTTGTAATGTATGATGTAAGGATTTTGTATATTGTAGGAAGGCATGTAATTGGTCTATATTTAGATGGGTCTTGTGTATTGTTGTCTTTTGGGAGCATGTAAGTGATACCTTGTGTAAGGGATGCAGGAGTGCGGTAAGAGTGAGTGTAGGTAAAATATTTCCACCAAAATTTGTGAATGTTATCAATACCTGAACTTTTCCAGTTATGTAAGTGATTAATAGTTTGAATGATGTCTGTTGTAGTGATGTTTACGTTATTCATAGGGGTAATGTATTCAGTGCGTGTGGTTTCTGTGGTAATCCACGGGACGTGTGGATTGCATTTAATGTCTTTGGTCCATAAGTCGGACCAGTATTGCTGCAGTGAGTGTAAAGATTGATATCGATCGAATGGCGGACGTGTAGTTGTTAGTGGCGTGTGCGCGTAAAGTTTCATGATTTAAGCCGCTCCATTAATAATTTTATATAATTTAAAGTGTGTTGCTGATAAATTAACTTAACAGTGTTCTTTTTAAGTAAAAGATAAATGGCGGCGGTGCCTTATTAATTGTTTATATAAAGTGCGCACAACTTCTAAGCATCGTATACATGCCTTACGCTTTGCGATCACAAGGTCAAGAACTTGTAATGGCAGGTGATAGTGAAAATCAACCTTCAAATAAAGATATAATGCAATTCTTAAAGGAATTAAAAACGGATTACGCTTCTAGAGAAGATGAACTTATCAAATCCTTAAACGTATGTCATGATTCATGAAAAACTCGATGAAAACAGCTTGGAACTAAGTAGACTTAACAAGCGGCTGGATGCATATTCCGAAACAATAAACAATCTTAAAACTGAAACGGCGAGTTTACGACAGGAACTATCCTCTTGTTACACACAAATAGATAATCTGGAACAGTATACCCGCCGAAACTCTATTGAAATACATGGAGTGCCGTATATGAAAGGAGAGGATAGTTACGCAATTGTGCAAAAAATTGCATCAGCGCTCGCAATTCCAATAACAAAACAATCAATTGATGTTTGCCATCGTTTAAGAACCCCAAGTGAGAAAAATCATGCAGCGATTATCTGTAAGTTTGTAAATCGTTACACCAAAGAAGAGTTTTTAGCCAAACGGAAAGTCAAAAGGAATTTATCCACAACAGATATAGGAACGACCATCGGTAGCACCATATAAGTGAACGAAAATCTGACTCCGCACCGTAGAAAGCTGCTTTTTAAATTACGTCAACTTCAAAAGGAGATGAAATTTAAGTTTACGTGGACCAAAAATGGAAACATTTTCGCTAGGAGAGATGAAGAATCCCCTATTCGCTGTATTCAATCCACTGAGGATCTTGATCTTATTAAGTCCGGGGGTCTTTAGTATGAGTTAGTTTTGCTTCTGAAACTGTTTTTTTTTTATATGTTATGTTTAGTCAACCATATATTCACCTTTATATCAAGAAATGGTTATCATTCGATTATTGTATGTTTATCAATCACCGATGTTAAATTTTGTTTTGTTATGGAATAATAATTTTAGGTTATTGTCATGTTTGCGTACTTAAATATTGCACATTTGAATGTTCGTTCTTTATTGGCACATTTTTCAGAATTCAAAGATATGTTGCAGGCAGCCAGTTATGACGTACTAGGAGTTACTGAAACCTGGCTGACGGATCAAATAAATACTGACGTAATTCAGATTCCGGGATACAATTTCATACGTATTGACCGAATTACTACCACTCGCGGGGGCGGGGTAGGTATGTACATAAGAACCGATTTACATTTTGATGTACTGCCCATAGATCCTAATAATCAAATTTTAGAACAACTGTGGAT